ATTTGACAAAAGTAAATTGAACGGTCGTGATTATATTCTATTTTAAGAGAACTTAAAATATTCTACTAAATCAAATTCTGTTTATTAAACTCTGATAGTAATCTGTAGGTTAATAGACAGTAGAATATACCCCAAACCAAACTTGAATATGCATAGATTAGTTGGATAAGTGCTCTCTCCCAATTCCTCTGGTGCTGTTTAAGCTAAATATTTTATATTTCATAAAACCACAATCATAAAAACAAAAAACTGGGGAGTTTTACCATGGAGTTGTCAATTTTCATTCTGCTAAAAGCATTTAAAAAAAGAAGTAACTCCCAATTACCATTATTTCGTAAAAGAATACGCCTATACTGAAGTGATAAAAGATCATTTTAGGGCAAAAAAAAATCTTTTAAATTCAAAAGATTTAGTTTTATGGGGTTTTTTGTTTTTGTTTTTTTAGTCGATAACCTTTTCATTCACTTCATATAAGTGGAAACTTTGTCATGGATTGATACTTTATATCTCAGCGTTTGGGAAACAGGCCTAAACAGCTATCTCCCTCTTGGAAAAGAAAGCAAAGGTAGGACGTGCCCAAACCAAATATTAACCTACTCAATAATGAGGAAATAGAGGCTTAGAGGGGTGTAGGGACTCTCCCCAGGTCACAGAGCAAGAATTTTGACATAGGTTTGTCTAATTTCAGAGTTTCTAACCATTATGCTAAGTTTTCCTCTAATACTGCTCCAGTGGTATAAAGATCCATCCTAATCTTGCTCACCTTTGTGACCAATGACAACCGAGGAATTGCCAGGCAGCTGGCAGGAGTGAGGTGTACTCCTTGGCCATCACTCAGACTGAAGCTAAATGGAACTCCTGACCTTTGCCTCATCAATACCAGGCTCACTCAACTAAGCCAAGTAGCACAGACAAAGCACACACACCCTGCTCCAACAGCACTGGCGCAGGGCTCTCAGACATTCCCAAGTGCCTATGATATAGTGAAAAACATATTCCTGAAAACCAAAAGGAATGCATTAATCCTCAAGAAGGAACTGAACACTTCCATAGTAACTCAATCTAACAATAATAAACTTGCCCTCAAAAAGTTACAACTCTCAATAAATCCCATTCTTCAAGCTATGATAATCTTTTACACATTAATACACAGGTTACTCCTATTTAACTAGAGAAACAGAAACACATGAAATCCTATAAATTTATAGTTCTGAATGTCCAAATTAAGAGCGTTTTTATATTTGCTATATGATAAATAAAAATCTTAACATTCTATCCCTCTAGGATAATCTCAACATTAGAGACAAAACCATTCCAGTAAGTCAGAGGAACTAAAGTTACAAGAAAAACATGTAATACCATTCTCTATGAAAGACATTATTAGTAGCCAGCAGAAACAGGACAAAAATCCTATTTGAATATTCAGAGGTTCTTGATATTGAAACCAAAATGAAAGTCAAACAAATACAATACTGTATATCAGAGATCTGCTTCCAAGTCCTCATGTATCACTTACCAACAAATGCCCCAAAGAAATGACCCAACAGCTCTTAGTAACCAAGGTCTGACCCTCTCGACTGAGTCTGAAACAGTTCATCCTCTCTGAATTAGGGTAATAAAAACTAGTATTCTTGCTCTCAATGGTAAGAAAATGCTATTTCCCAATTTTTTTTTCAATGACCAGCTTCACATTCAACTGAATCTACAATGTGAGACAGCACAGTCTCATTTTTTTTTTGCCCACTGTATAAAATTATCATTTATCTTTTCCTTCTGTTTTAAACAGATGCCATCAAAAATACAGAGTTGACATTTTTTCCTTTCCCCTCTAAAGTCTCCCTGGTTCTTTGACCTCTCCAGTATATCTATCTGTATTAATCTCCACACTCATGTTAAATATATGCTTAGCACTGACCTCTCATGAACCACAAACCCATGTTTCCAAAAAAATCTTGGCATTTCCAGTGTTTGGCAAATGTATTAAAAAACTCAGCCTATTCAAAATCTTCTCATTATCCACCTCTCTGTCCACATTTCTACAGTAATACCATCACCATCATCCACACTTGAAATACGTGTAATCTTCAACTTCTTTCTCCAAACTTTCCTCCTCCCACCCACCTGCTAAATCCTCCCAGTGCCTTTGCCGTTACCCACACCCACTATTTACAGTAGGTTGAAAGTCAGCTTTCAAAAGAAATCATTCCACACACTTCACCGTTAGACCACGGTAATTCACCTACCCAAATAGTAAACTCCTAAATAGAGCATTAAACATGTTCCACAATTAAGCCCCAATTTTATTTTCAAACCTCCACTCTTATTCCCAAAACTGAATTTATAGTCTAGGTAATGTGGTCCACTAGACTTTCGCTGAGATACGGTGACCTCTCCCACTTCCACAACACTTGTGCTCACATCAGTCCCTTTATCTGAGACGTATTCTCCATCCACCTAATCCCAGCTGCTTAATTTTTGTTTAGAAAAAAGCCTTATATCGTAGCAATGTTGAACTCAAGTTTGATTAGAGCTAGCTAGCATGATGCAGTAGAAACACAAAGGCTTTGGCACCAGGCAAATGGAGATTCAAGTCAGTTATCTGGAAGCTGTATAGTCTGGCAAGTTACTGAACATATCTGCGCAACAATGTTCTCATTATTAAGAAAAATGTTTGTGTTGTGAAGCTTAGAACACTTACATAAAGCAAACAGCATAGAACCTGGAATTCACTATATGTTCAATAAGTAACAGTTCAGAACCATCTTTCTAAGTTTTACTCCAGTGAACAGTGAACACTTACTGTCAAACCACTAGTACTTAGTATTTACATAATTCTTATGCTGTAAATCCCTATGCAAATTATTTTAGAACCCCTTTCTATTTGTCAAATTCCAAAGATTAAAACCTTTATCTTCGTATTCTACAATACCTAGCAGTGCCTTTCATGATGCACACAACGCCCCACCCCAGTTAGAAGTTTAATATGCCTAAACAATACAACTCACCTCTCCAATATCTCAAACATACCTTAGGAAAATGATTACCAAACCAGGACTTTGTGTTATTATGGCAGTATATTTGCTCCTACAAGGTTGCTTAATATAGCAAATGTTCAGTATCTGTGGAATTGACTTGAAAAATACAGTAAAATCTACAAGCAAGTCTTCAATATCCACTGAATGTACCTGAATAAACAAAACATGCAATGCCTAAGGCTATCTGATTTTCCTCAATTATCTTTTTCTTACAATTCTTACAATTCTTGAAATATTTTCCTTCAAAACACAACTATCATTCCTTGAATATAAATTCATAATCATATCTAATTTGACTATTTCAGAGTCTCTCAATTACAGAATTCCAAAAGTATGACCTAAACAACTAAAAACTTAAATGGCCAAAAATGTGCAGTTCCTATGTTCATCTAAACTGATGATGAAAACTAATCTCCCCTCCACAATTCTCTCCAGCTACTTTAAAAACCATCCACCCTTTGTTTGCTGAAGATCAACAATTTGAAACAAATTTTCTTTCAGAAGTAGGAAGAAAGCTCACTGAACTTGTCACTTCAGTCTATTTTCCCTAATTCATGCTATTATTACCTCCCCTTCCCCTGATAGGAAGAGAGAGAATGAGATAAGTAAGTAATAATAGTAAGCCACTGTATAAGTCCTCATACAGCACAAATAAGAGCAGGAACATGTCACACTGGCTTTTTACAAAGGTGGTCTGTGTATACCTTGCACTTATGTGTACATCTCTGTACTCTGTGCAAAAACAATAATCATCTTCTGATAGGCGTGATCCGCAATAACCACTTTCCCTTATGATCAGAACTTAAAAATCGCTATTAAAGGTGGGAAGCCCTTATTCCCTACAAATATTCCAGCAGTTTACTACCTAAAAGCTGTTTACTAAAAGCAACTATACATCATTTTCTCCTACAGAAAACTCTCTATCAGCGGTAAGCGCTTCATAATCTAAGATGTGTAATAGAAAATATATATACATAAAACCCCTCTGCCTATCTGTGTGAAGCTCTGTATTGCAGCTACAACCTTAACAGAACAAGGAACTTCTAAGGCGCGAACGAGAACAATTTTTCTTTAAAAATTAAGGAAAATGACAGCTCCAAATACGAAGGTATACAAACCTTGGGAAGATTTAACTCTCCACGCCCTATAATCGGTTCATGCAACCACCAGAGAATGAACAATTGTGACTTCAGGTAGCTACATTGCATATTAGAAAACAATCTTTTTTTACGTCTGCAAAAAAATAAAAATAAAAAATAAGGGACCTTATCTGAACTGCCGATTTTACTCAGGCTGGTTGGTTTTATAAGTGACTTCAACAGCAGGTTGAGCAAGCTTTCAAGTAGGTAAAAAGATCATGGGAGGCACGCCGGTGCCACACTGACCTACATATCCAGAACCCGTCCCGAGCGCAGTCCAAATCGATCCTGGGCAACCCCTAAGAGGGTGTGGATGAAAAGTCTTGCAAAAGATCCCCGACATCTACACACGCGTCGCCCCGCCCTGGTACTGAGCAGACAACACCCCAGGGACCCGGACTAATTACTGAGCCCCAGGGCAGACCCACAGGACGTGAAAGTCGGGACCCGGAGCACAAGATTCAATCTGGTGTCCAGGTACCCAGCCCAAGTCGGACTAGAAAACCACATTCCTAAGGCAGCACGCAGATTTGGGGGAGCAGAAACCAGAGGGTCGAATGGACAGAGGCCCAGCCCATCCCCACTCTGGAGTCCCAACAGCAACTATAGCTCGGGGAACCCCCTGCCCAGCTCTGCTCCGCCCACCCACAGCCCCGCCGCCCGCTCCTTCCCGCCGGGCAGCCTCGGCGCCGACCGGGGCGCCCGACAGCCCACTTCCCCGAGCCCCGACAGCTGAACCCGGAGCCCGGAGCGGGCAGCGGGGGCCCGAGATCGCCAGCTCCGACGCGGCGCGGCGCCGTCCCAGTCCGCTCCCCCGGCCACTCACCGTCGGCCCGGGCGCTGGGAAGGGGCAGGGCGCGGATCGCCGGACGCTCACCCCGGGCTCCGACGCGGGCTGGAGCCCCTACGCGGAGCCGATCGAACCTCAGCGGCTGTGCCTACCAGGCCTCTCTCCAGCCCGAACCTTGGAAAAGCACTTCCGGGGGACCGGGGGGAGGGAAGGGTTTTGGCACCGGAACTGCTCGCGGGCTGGAGCTGCGGGGGCCTCCCGGGCGCGGCGCGGCGCGGCGCGGCGCGGTGGGGCGGGGCCTCTCCCCCCGGAGCCCGCAAACCCACCCCAAGCTGGGCGCTAACCCTTTCTGCCCCGCGGCGCCTGGGATCCCCCGGCCAGAGCCACCTCGCGTGCCGCTGGCTGGTCCTCTCCAGTCACCTAAATTTCCAGGCGGGAAAGCCGAGCCTCGGAGAATTTAGGGGCGAGCGTCCGCCGGCTTCCCGAATCGCTCCCGTACTGTCGCTACTGCAGCCTCGCCCCCTTTAAGAATAATGAGAGTTAACATTTATTGAATGTTTACTACATGACAGGTACTGTGTTAAGGCTTCGGGTGCTTAACTGAGTTAATCATCCTCAAACCCTTTGAAGTTAGGGCTTTTATCTACAACCTCACAGAGGGGAAGATACCAAACTCAATACCACAATCTTGGGCGCTTGATTTTGTTTTAACTCATGTTTTGTGCCTTAATCTCATTCACTTTGTAATAAAAATTTTAAATTCTTCAAGGCTTGGAATCAAATTTTATTCCGATATTCCATCATCTCTTAAACTTCTCAGAGGCCCAAAATTAAGGGACTCTAGTGTCTTACTTTTTACTTTTTCATTCTGGGCAAGTTGCTTCACCTTATTCTAAGTTTCCCAGTTCCTCATCTGTAACACAGTTCTGTGTGTGTGTCTGTGTGTGTGTGTCTGTGTGTGTGTGTACTTATCATCTGGATTGCTGTAGACATTCTAAATGAAAATGCATGATGAAAACTTAAGTGTACATAATACCGACATGCAAAGTCAACAGTTCTATCTCAGCAACAAAAGGGAACAATTTCTAACAATGCACTTATTGTAGGGGGGGTAATTTGGAAAACTGTTGATTAGCAATAGGCAATATGAAATGTTAACTGAAGAAATACGGATGTTTTTGCAAGGGAGAAATGAAAGCAGGTGAACCAAAAAAAAAGGGGGGGGGGACATCCTCGACACTTGTGATGCCATGAGCCAAGCTGGCAAGTGAACCCACAGAGTCAAATGTCAAGCAGGGAAAGAAAAAGAAAAGGGACTTAGCTGCAAAATCAGGATGACATCAAACATTTGAGGCAGATTCTGTATCTGAAACCAGTCTCTTAGCATGCACACTATCTGCAAAACAAATTTTACAAGCATCTCTTAAAACTGCGGGGGAGGAAGGCTTTTTAAATTTTCTAAGAACAGCAGGGGAAAATGGAAATAGTTTAGAAATGGTTATTACAAATTTAAGATGCAAATAGTACTTTTGCTCTTACCTTTATTTACAGCATTATCTTGGTTACTTTTGTGATTGCATAAGTGTTTGTTATGACTTCCTACCCAAATTTAAGTAGTCTCAAGAGTGTAAAAAATTTATAAAAAAAATACAGCGTCAGTTGGCAGGATTCGCTAACTTACCTTTCCACCAAGGGCGAATAGTGAGAGAACTCCTGAACACCATTGTCAGCTTCCTATGGGACACATGCGTGGTAGGGATTTGTCTTGGAACCCAGTCATCTAACTAGTAAATGGTACAGCCAGAATTTGGGACTGGAACCATGGTGCCAAGTGGTTCTCAGACTTAAGCATACATCAGTTACCTGGTGATCCTGCTCAAGCAGAAACTGCTAAGACCCACCCTAAGAATTTCACATAATCTTACTTTGCATCACCAAGTTCTAGTCCCTGGACTAGGAGCATCAACATCACCGGTGAATTTTTAAAATGCAAATTATTAGGCCCTGCTCCAGACTCTATGAATCAGAAACTCTGGGATGGAGCCCAGCAATGTGTGTTTTAACAGGCCATCCAGGGAATTCTACTACATGCTCAAGTTTCAGGACCAATTAATTGGTCCCTCTACTATCTTGTCTTGCACATACTTCTACATTTTCTAATTATCCCCAATGAAATAACGCTACTAAAACAAAAGTTCTTACCACTGAATCGAATAACATATTGAAGCATTTTTGTTCGTGTTTTGCTCTTAGTAGGAGAGGAGTCTAGGGAGGAAAATGTGATTTTAATGGAGGATTCTTTTTTGATAACTGTAAATTTGCACTGAAATTTAACCAGAAAATACAGGTCAGGACTACTCTGATTTGAGAACTACTCTATGTGCCAAGGTTTTATATTCGTTTTCTAAATTAATCTTCACTACATTGCTATGAGATTTTATGGTCTTAATTTTACAGAAGAGAAAAAACTGAGACTTAGGTGAAGTAATTGACTTCAGGCCACATTCTTATTAAGGTGCAGAAATCAGGATTTTTCAAACAAAGATCCCTCTAATTCCAAAACCCTGATCATTCCACTTCGTGGCAGGAGCTTGGAGAACCAAATTCCAGTGTGGGCTCCACCACCCCAACTATGCAGCACTGAGTAAGCGATTTAATCTCTATTTCAATTTCTCCATCTATAAATAATGTTATCATAAATCTGCCCCTCCCACACTGGAATGTTAAAACAAATGAGAAAATAAAAGTGTAAGTGCTTTGAGCTTTTTGAAGAAAAACAGTGAAAAAGCAATTTATGATAGTATTGCATGTTTAACCAAGTGTTACTAGGTGAGTCCGGCATTGACTCTTTCCTGGTTATCTCCTGATTCATGCACAAGAGTTTTAAAAGCTACACTTGATGGCAAAGGAAAAGTTGCTTGACTTTGTCATTGTTACCTGAAGGTTAGAGAAGATGAAGAGGATATTATGTGTTTCGTTTTAAAATTACAGGGACACTCTCACCAGGCCATAAGACTCCAAGTGATTGCCAAATTGCTGGCCCATCCTCAGCTTAAAGATTTTTTCTCTAAATCCTTTTTGGCTCCCGATAATAGGCACCCCTCCACCCTCCTGCCGCCACCTACTAGCAAAGACTTAAAATTCCTGTTACTTTATTATGTAGAAGGATTTAGCGCTCAATCCTCTTCTTAGTCCAGACTCTAGGCCTATCTTTGTTGACAGAATCACCAGCTTGCACAATCGCAGGGGGTACCATTCACAAAGAACACAACCTGGATGGTGCTCAAGGGGGTGCTGATTGCACAGGCCACCTTAAGAGTGGTCCCCCTGCAACTGTGCTAGGCGGTGGCCTCAACTGTGCATAGCTGCTGCCCCCCAAATCCATTAAGGTGCTTTGTTAAACAAAGGAGTCATCTACTTAGGAGGCCTCCATTTACCAAACTTTCCAATGATGGGTTCTTTGTTTTTTGTTTGTTTTAACATGGGCCTGATTAAATACTTAAACCACCAGGTTTAAGTCCTGAGTCCCACACTGCTAAGGTATTTTTCATTCTCTTCTGTAACATCATTACCTATCATCCACTAAGCATGTGAATTTCAGGAAGACTTTGTCATATTTTGTCTTCCTCGCCTTCTATTCTACTTTGGCTCAGGTGCTTGAGAAGCATTTGCTGATCTAAATAACAGTGCAATAAACTCATCGATATGTACTTGCTGTGGCAGAGATTTGACAGATGACAAGTGTGTTGTTTTACCCACAGAGCTTTGTACCAAAAAATAAACTGAGCCAAATTTTTAATAATGAGAAATGTCATGTAAAATAAATCACCATTTCTGGCATCTCTTGAAAATTTAGACATCCTAGAGAACTTGGTGTGTGTCCCATTAAGCATCTGTGTCTTAAGCTGAGAAGCAGCTGCTTTATTCAGGTGATACAATTAATAGGGTTCACTTACATGTGGTAGCTGCACAGCAGATACTGTGTTTGAAGCCTGTATGGAATCATATGAGTGTTTTGGAGAAACACATGTGGAATTTTGTCTTATAGATTTTACATGTGTTCATAATTTCATCCCAATGTAGTTTGAGTTAATTCTTTTAAAGAATTATTTTATTTATTTACGCATACAAAAGCTGGGGTGTAGGCCAGAGGCGTGTGTGGTGGTGTGGGGGAGGATTCACCAGAGACAGAGTGGGGAGCAGAACAGGCAGATCCACTAAAATCCACTGCTGAAGGGAGCAACGGGCAAAACAGGAGAGGTCTGCTGCGCCATGTGGGTCAGCTCCCTGGCTAGGTATGGAACTATTAGCAATAGTTGCTGATAGCTTCGTAATACTGAGACTTAACCCCTTGCACCAATAGGGAGGACATTTTCAAGTTATTTTTTAATTGATTTTCTAGGGTAGAATACTGTGGAATCCATGATGTTGCATTTTAAACAAGGCAAGCAAGTACAAACATCAAATTGTAAATATCATTACCACCAGCATTATAATGGAACTGTTGTTGACTCTATTTGACAACTGCCTTGGAAATAAAAAGACAAATATGTGCATACACACAAGTGCAGCTCGTTTAGGTAGCTGTGATGGAGCCAGAATTAAAACCCAGGCAAAGGGCCTCCCTGGTAGCACAAGGGATTAAGTGGCAGCACTATGAAGCTACCAGCAGCCACTGCACTTTAAACCCCATCAAGGAGGTGACTGACATGGCACAGCAGACCTCTCTCCTGCCTTGCCTGCTGCTCCCCTCAGCAGTATATTTCAGTCAATCTGTCTGTTCTTTACCTACTCTATCTCTGGTAAATCCTCTTACCCCCTCCCCAGCACCTCTAGCCAGTACCCCAGTTCTTGTATGCACAAATAAGTAAATCTTAGAAAAAATAAAACCCAAGTAAGCCTGTCTCTAGGAGACACATAGTGCTAATTATCCACTAAACTAATGTTTATTGCGCATGTCCCATGTATTAGGGCCATGATCACCTCCCCGCTGAAGGAAACTGCCTACCAAATTTATAGCAGAGGGCATGTATCTCTTCCAGGTCTTTTATAGGGTATTGTAATAAACTCACAGATTCTTCTCATTTCCCTCACCCTCCCACCCAAATCATACTGACAAGTTAATAATCTTCATTTT